ATCTTTTCCAGTAAACCCCCCTTATCTAATTTTTTACCAAATAACCCCCCTCAACTATCCAAAGGGTAAAAGAGTTGATATTTGGACCAAAATTCCCTTTTATTTAAATCTTAACTCTACCAAACTTCAAAAATTCATATCTCACAAACCGTACATTTAAAAATTGTAAATAATATATGCACGGAAAGCTTATAAAATAATGTTTTCAGAAATATAAGATTTATACAACAAACCTTCATAACCAGAGAGAAATAAGCAATCTAAAAATCTACTCCAACAATCTTATTTTATTTTAAAAAAATAAAATACTAGAGATATTTGCAAAAAAAAAATTTAAAATTATTCATTTACATATGAAGCTGAATATATAAAAAAACTTAGCTCCAACAAAGATCGATTTCATGAGATATCATATTTTGCGTCAAAGTATTTTCATTCTTTTATAGACTCACCATTTAAAAAAATAATAAAAATGAATATTCGGTCTCTATTGGGACTAAATTTTTTATATGTTATGCTCCATATGAAAATGAATATTTTTGAAAATTTTCTTACAAATAATCCGAATATTCTATAAAAAATAAAATAAAATAAGATTATTGCAGTAGATTTTTAGAATGTCTATTTCTCTCTGGTTATGAAGTTTTGTTAATATATTTCTGGAATCTTTGTTTTATAAGCTTTTCGGGCATATAGTATTTGCAATATTTGGATATACGGTTTGTGATATATGAATTTTTGAAATTCAAAAAAATTAATATTTAAATAAAAGGGCATGTTGGTCCAAATATCAATTCTTTTACATCCCTTAGATAGTTGAAGGGGGTTCTTCGGTAAAAAATTTGACAAGGGGAATTTATTGAAAAGGGCTACAAGTTAACGGGGGTTCTTTGGTAAAAAATTAGACGAGGTTTACTGGAAAAGACTACAAGTCAAGGGGGGTTTTTTGTACTTTACCAAAAAAAAAAAAAAAAAAAAACTAGTTATTTAAAGAAGTATTTAAATAACAATGAAAAAAAAAAAAAAAAAAAACAAACAAATTAATAAAATAAGAATTTAGATTCTTCAATTATCGATTTTTGTTGATATTCAAAACTTCAAATGAAAATTTTGTTTTAGATTTTGTAAAAATTAATTTCTTATAGAATTCTTTTAAAAGCATTCCAATAAAAATAAATAAAAAGAAAAAAAAAAGTGATGAAAAGAATTATGTATGAGATGGAATTTTAGGATAATAAGGTTATGGAAAGAATCATAAACATGAATAAAAATATGTCAAATTTTTTTGCAAAAATTATCGAATTCAAAATCAATGTTTGATTTTCAATATCATCAAAATATATGGAATAACTATTATCCCTTGGGTTGGAAGGATTTTAAGATAATCGCATTATGGAAAGAAAGAGTTAAATTTTAAGATAGTTATGTGGGTCTATTTTTATCGGGGTTCTATAGTAGTCAATTAAATCACTCTCTTTTAGATTATATATAAACTATCTTTTGTTAAATGTTAATTAAAGAAAGATTTTTTATTTTTTTTTCTCTTAGAGGGGTGAAGTATAGTTTTAGGGATAATTCCAAAAAAAAAATGAAATTTTGTAGGTAAAAGGTTAAAAAGATGGAGTCAAACTTCAGTTTCCCAAATAAATGGAGTTTTATAAAAGGCTGACGTGAACATGAAAATTTGTTGCGATTTGACCCAACTGTCCTTTCTCTCTCTTCATGCTTCCCCCATCTCTCTTCATATCTCTTTGTGAAGAGATTTCAAAACTTCTATGCTTTCCCCACCTTATTTTCACTTTTCTCCTTTCATTTTCATGATAAAGTGTTGTAGCCAAAACCCTTCGGCATAATTTGCCAATAGATGCTTGGAAGGTGCAGGGCCAAAGCCCTAAATTTTAATGTTATTTCAGAGTTCAGGAGTATGTTTGGCGAGGATAAGATTTCTTTTGCACTTATGATGGGAACAAATTTCTACTTTTGCAGAGAAGAATTTGCAATCCTTCTTAAGCTTCAACTGGAGGCAAAATAAGCTGTAGAAGAATTTGCAATCCTCCTTAAGCTACAATTGGAGGCAACTGCCTTTTCTTTCTCTTCAATAGCGGTGAAGATAGGCTTATAATTGCGACATAGCGGTGAATATGGACTCATAACTACGACGGCGAGCTTTGAACTGGCGATGAAGCGGATTGAATGGCCGAATACGAACCGGCAAAGATGAACTGAGTCAAGCTCATCTTCTAACTAAATTTTTATATGCCTCTCTCTCTTTTTATATATATATATATACACACACATACACACATATGTATATATATAGAGAGAGGGGCGTGCATTTATGCACATTGCAGAGGGGTCTGAGTTGATGTTCATGTTTCATGATAGTATTGAAGTTCGACTCTATGCTTTGATCAATCTCTATCTCAGGCTCTGGGAATTCTGAAGGTTTATCCATTTACACATCCGGTGGTGTGGTGGGTGTGGTGGGACAATTGATGAGTTAGTACTACTTGTAATTGGTACTTGAATTTTGAAAATGGAAACTTGAGATGGCGACAATGGGTGTGGTCGCATGACCTTCTTGCCGCCGGTGTTGATGGGGGAATTCGGCGTAACAACCCCAAAAGAGCAGGCAATCACAAAGAGATATGAAGAGAGAGAAAGGGCAATTGGAAAGCATGAAGAGAGAGAAAGGGCAATTAGGTCATTTCGTAATAAATTTCCATATCCATGTCAGCCTTTCATAAAACTCCATTTATGTGGAAAACTAAAGTTTGACTCTATCTTTTTGGCCTTTTACCTACAAAACTCCATTTTTTATTTTATTTATAATTATCCCTAGATTTTATACCATGCATGTTACACTATTTTTATTTTTACCTATTCTAAAATAAAAAATTCCAAAAAATTAGGGGGGCCATGGCCACCCCCAGCCCCCCTTCCCTCCACCCCTGGGTACATGTCCCCCACGTGTCCAATAAAAAATAATTTCTGAAAATTTCATAGAAGTGTCGGACACCGTGTCCGTATCGGACACATGTTCGACATTGGGAGGGGTGTCCGTGCTTCATAGGTCTAGGCATAAGACTTGGTCATAGTCAAGATAAATTTTAATCAATATGATGAATTGTTTTGCTCTATACTGCAATTGCTCTTTTTATCGTGTGCTGGATAGTTTGCAGTCGAGTAGAGAAGAGTGTCGGTTCATCCCAGAAACCCGATAACATTGGTTTTCGTACTAATTTTGTCTATCGTCTCATTAAAGCCTTCTGTTTATACTTCCTCGTATAAATACGATTTTTCTACAGTTCCTACCTGGACATAATGACCAGCTTCATTGCAAATATAACATTTACAATCTTTTCGTTCGGCTCCATCTTTGACTCTAGAGGGGATATCCAGTGTGGTCATGCTAATGAAAGATTCGTCAAGAATTGTATCGGATTGACGTTTTTTTGATTTTCCCTTTGATCTGGATCTTAGGGGAAAAAGAAAAAAGGAACCAAAAAGTCCTCCAAAGCTTCTAAGTCCTTAGAAATCAAAAAAGATTGTAAATGTTTTTGTAGGTTTTTTTAACGTACAAATTTGATGTGTTTTTTCATTTACTTGCTTTATTTTATCATTTGATCTTGCAAGCGAACATTTGCCCTGGTTGATTGAGAACAACCCTGTTCACACCGATTCAATAATGGTATTCAAGGTTTGGATAGGAGGACCAGATTGATTTCGAAACATTCTATAATTTCTCTCCTTCCAAATGTGGTACACATAGCTTGCAAAAGTGAGCTTCCAGGTTTGGATTCTACTTTTCTTCAATTTACTTTTCCAATTTGATGATACCCATACAAGAAAGTCCTTAATTCTATGAATTGAGGCTAGTATAGAACCCACACTTATTTTGTATCCCATTCCACACACTTTTTGAGTATACAAACTGGTGGAAAATATGCTCATGTGATTCTGCTGCATTTTGACATAGAGCACACACATTGGGTTGCATTGTGTATAGATTTGTTGGCTTGTCTTGTGTGAATAACTTCTCTTGTATAGCAATCCAAAAACAAAAGCTATGTTTAGGAATTACATCACTAAACCATACCAATTTGATGAGACAAGTTAAAGTCCAAGGTACTTGATGGGGAGGGTTCCACATTGGTAGTGGAATAGGTTACAAATGGTTTCTTTAGTGGTATTAGGAACTTCATTAAACAGCAAGAGGCTCTTAGATGGTTTTGGGGTAGGGTCAGAAAAAGAGCTGAAGGTATCAAGGGCATCCATAGGGGGGATATGGGGTCCCCTGTCTCAATCCTTTAACATTCTTGAAATAGTCACATAATTCTCCCACAGAGAACCCGCGGAGAGCAAAGATCTTTGTGATATCCTCTCAAGAGCTCGAGTATGTGCATATAAATCTTTAATATTTGAAATTGGTAAGAAATTGTCTCTGTTTGTCAATTTTGATCAATGTTTTTTCTAAAACTCCAAAATACCTTTAATAAAAATGTAAATTAAAATTTATAAAACTTTATTTATTTAAAGAGTATTTTGTTTTAAGGACATTTTAAGTATTTAAATCTTTAAATTAAAAAAATATTATTATTTGCTCAATTTAAAAATATGTCCGGAATTTTTTTTTTAACACCAATAAAGTATTTGCACGTTATTTTAGAGGTCCAATACATATAACCTTCCCTTTTTGGAGATTCCAAAAATTTTTATTTACTCAAGTTCAAAACTTAAGCATGGTGATATGTCACTATAAGTATATTATATTTTAAAAAATAAAATTTTAAAGATAAAACTGTCCTTAAAGAATCTCACTTAGTAAAGAATTTCAGTTAGTAGTAATATCCTTCCATGTCCCATAGCCAAACTATTCTTTATTCGTTAACCTAAAACCCTTCCCCTCTTCTTCCGCTGTACCTATATCTGCATCTCTCTCACGCACACACAATCACACACATATACAGAGGGACTAAACTAGGGTTTGTGTCAAAGCTATGTTGCGAAGGAACGTTAGGCTGAGGAGAGAGTATCTCTACAGAAAGAGTTTGGAGGGAAAGGAGCGTTTGCTATTTGAGAAGAAGAGGAAGATAAAAGAAGCCTTAGAAGGTATTTTATTTTTATTATCAGTGAATAAACGATTCATTCAGAATTTGCTTTGAAATATGAATATATGTATATTCGATAGCTTCATATATTTATGTCATTGTCTTTATGTTTATGATATGAACATTTTGTAATTTTGGTTATTATTTTTCAGAGGGGAAACCAATCCCTACCGAGCTCAGGAATGAAGAGGCAGCCCTTCGCCAAGAAATTGATCTCAAAGACGAACAAACAGCTGGTATAATCTTCTCTTTCTCATGTGTATGTGTGTGGGTATTGGATTCATTTAATCAATATGAAAGTTGCATTGCCCTGGGGTGAGTTTCAATGATTTTGTTGGGTTGCTGAGGAAGTAAATGAAAATAAAAAAACATTGAATCTTTATGGACCCAATAGAACAGAATCCTCTGCCTAATAGCACCAATCAATGTAACTTAAGCATCAATCTTCTTCTTCTTCTTCCTCCTCTCTTTCTCTCTTCCCTTTGAGGTCACTTCTCTTATTAAATTGTGAAAATTGAACTTTGTTTGGGGGTGTTGGTTTGAAATTGAGGGTGGGCCTTGGCGCAACGGTAAGGACCATGAGGTTGCTCCATTGTGACATGGTGGTCTTGGGTTCGACACTGAAAACAGCTTCTCCATGCGGAGGTAAGGCTGCTTACATTTGACCCTCCACAGAACCTGCAATGGCGAGAGCCTCGTGCATTGAGCTAGCCCTTTTTGTTAGTTTGAAATTGTTCTCATTTGTTGAAGCAAAAATGTAGATATAAAAAGGAAATAGGCTTTATTTTAGACTTTTCAATATTTTGGACCAAAATAAAACAAAGTCCTTTTTTATTTTTTATTTTATTAATTTTTCCAAGTTATTCTCTTACATCTACACGGACACACACATCAGAGAGAGTTGAGAAAACTTCAAGAACTTCATCTGAACTTCTTTTATTCTGTTACACTGATTGTATGCATTTTGGTCCTTTTTATGTTACCTGATAAAGTATGAGCATTTGAGACTCTGTGTGAACTACACACGCACACGCACACGCACATGCACACATACTTCACTTGCTTGGTCTACTCGTACCATAGGATTTCTATGGTGAAGAATCCATGTTCTTGTGCATAATTTAAGGTCAGATGTATGGATGTTGAATATTTGTTCATGTGTCAAAAACTGATTCCAGTTTGATTTATATCACTATTTGCATTGTTTATTAGATAATAGTTCTGTTAGTGGTTTAATTTTTCTAATATCTTATCTTACTTTTCTCTGTATGCTTCACAATAATTTTTCTGTTCATGAAACTAATGTATTGTTTCATTTGATATCTTAATTGTAGTTCCAAGGACACACATTGATGATGAATATGCAAATGCATCAGAACAAGATCCTAAAATTTTGCTAACCACATCCCGCAATCCAAGTGCTCCTCTTACACAGTTCGTAAAGGTTGGTGCATGAGTTCACTGAAATTTTAGTTTTCTCAATTCTAACCTGGGCTTTCATTTATTTGTTTTTTTTGGTCATTACCTTGGTTTATTGATTTTTCAGGTTCATATGTATTTAGTTAGCCTGGGACATCCATTCTAATTTATTCAATTTTTTTTGGCAGGAATTAAAGATCGTGTTTCCTAATACACAACGAATGAATCGTGGTGGTCAGATTAGTTTGTTGTGTTGATTCATTTTACTTTTACTTTTGATTTTCTTATGTGCAGGTGTAATTTCCTGCTGACACATTGCATGAGGTTGATAATAAATTTTCATAATAAATATTAATAGTAATAATTATTATTATTTTTATAATGTTAGTCTGTTTCTTATTTATTAATGAGAGTTTTACTCTAGAAGTTTGATTTTTTCTAGAAATCAGTGTAATTTCAAATTTATGTTACTCCCATTTAAATTTTGAACTATTTCTTTGCTACCATAATGAATTCAGTAAAAGACATTTGTTGGTTCCCACTACCTGTTGCCTTTCAGGTGGCTTTTCTTTTTCCTATAAATCTGTCTTTCAAGTTTCAAGGAGACTTGAGAGTATAGGTGTTTATCTTCTTTTTTTTTGCTTTGCATATAGATTTCTATAGATGGCTCTTTTAATGAATTATATTTATTTTGCGAACAAGAAAAAGAAAATAAATTCAACTAAAGAGCAACCAGTTAAGTGCATGGTTCCATAATGTTAAGAAGCATGGACATTTGTGAGGAAATGTGTCCATGTTGGACGTGCTTGCAATATCAATACTTCTCAGAATCTCGGGCATTCATGGAACCTGTTTGACACATCTTGACCTTGTATGTCATTTAAAAGTAAAATTTTGGACATTTGGCCAATATATTTTGACACCGATAAATAAGTGATCAATGAATGTTGGATGTTTGGTATGCCTTCATTTTAGCATACTGCAGAGAGTAATTTAAGAAAAAGAAAATCAAATATGTATCTAATATTTCTAAAATGTTTGACCATATATAAAAATAAAAACTCAAATATAGAAATGTGTTGTTAAATGTATCACCATGCGAATAGAGAGACGAGTCCTCATAAGTATGCCTGCACATATGAACATGCATATGGATATATAAACGTAGAATATACATATACACACATTTGTCTGTCACTGCTACATCATGTCTATAAGACATAGCTAATTGACTTTGATTATTTTTTCACAAAGTTTTTCTTAATATGATTCATAAGTTACATAATTCATACAATGGAATTAAGGCGAGGATGATGATGATGAGGAAGTTACATATTTCATGTTTCTATGAAAATATTAGATCTGTTACAAGTAATTGTTGTTGTAGATATTATAGATAAATATACCTTTTGCTGACATGTCCTTGCCGTGTGATTTTCCATGTTGTGTATATCTTTTTAGTATGTCCTTGTGTATGATACATAAACCAAAAATACATTTTATTGTTATCTTAATTGGGGTAAAGCTTGGAAGGTTTTCAAACAAATATTATGTAATGGCATTTCTACATACCTTTGCAGGTTATTTCTAAAATTATTGAAACATGCCGTGCACATGATTTTACGGATGTTGTGTTGGTTCATGAGCATCGTGGTTTGCCAGATGGTATAATTATTAGCCATTTACCTTTTGGTCCAACTGCCTACTTCGGATTACTCAATGTGTTAAGTAGGTTTTCCACTCTAATGTCCTTTGGAAATTATTTTGGGCCTATTGGTTTTTGGCTTTTATCTCTTATCTATTACTTGCCTGTAGGTTACAAGACATGATATTAAGGACAAAAAAGCCATTGAAACAATGCCTGAGGCTTACCCACATTTGATTCTTAACAACTTCTCAACCAAGGTACAAACATCCAAGTGTTCAGATATCCATCTTACAATTAGAAAATTTTAATTCATAGTCTAGACATAATCCCAGGTGCTTTTGTATTGTCAAGAAAAATTTATCTTACTTATGAGTTATGGATGCAGTTCAACCATGCATATGCTTTAGGCCACGATTCTATGTTTGCAAAGATAGGACTTTCTGTATTTATGCCATTGGATATATAACAAAATGGCACATTAATAGTTTAGCACATTAATAGGTTTTCAGATTAGAAGAAAATCTATTTCACTGTTTTCATATTGAACCTATCTAAAAATGACTTGAATATTCGTAAATAAGTAACCATTTGAAAATTTGTAAAATTTGAAATACAATAGGATTTCTTACTCTGTTAGTGTTACTTTCTGTAGTGCTAATAGTCTCTCTCTCTCTCTCCCCTTTCCTCCCTAATTTGTGATTTTTTTTTTTGGGTTCATTCTTATAGCACTGTAGATAAGTTCATGCTGCTATCAATTTGGCACTACTAACCAATTTGTTTTATGTTGTGGGGTTGATTTATCTATTAGGGGTAATGTTTTGTGCTTTCGTAATACTTTTGGATCCGTTGACTGCTGATAGCTTGGTGAAAGGACAACAACCATTTTAAAGCATTTATTTCCAGTGCCCAAGCCTGATACAAAACGTGTATCACTTTTGCTAATCAGTCTGACTATATTTCCTTCAGGTTGGTTCCTTGCTGCATATTCTGATATATGCATGTTGGATGCTTAACTAGTATAGTTTTAATTTATCAGATGTGTCTATTGCTATTATTCCGTGTATCTTTCAAGATGAAACTTTTCATACTTAACCACCATTATCCTCTTGGATATCCTATATGCATGTTCGCTATCATGGATCTGAACAACTTTGATGTTATATACTCGATATATATGTGAACTCTGTAGTTTCTTGAGGACTACAAAGTCATTAATCTTCAAGTTCCTTACTTTTTTTTAACACGGATGAAATCATTTTACATGGAGTTGTGAAGGGATTTTGATATAAATTTAGTATCCAGTTTTGGAGTTACTTAAATTGTTTTAAGGTGAAAGATGTAGTAAAGTTTCTAGGTAGTTGTATCAAAGACTTGGTTTCAAATCCCCCTTCATCAGGTTTTGAGGCTTTATGATAAGGGAGGGCTACCCGGTTTGTGTAGCCATGCGTTGGACCAAAACTGAAAGGAAAAAAATTGTAGAATTTTGGACTTTTAATTACCTCAGTGCTGATTAGTCTGTCTAACCACGCTGAGTAATGACACACTCTAGCAACGTCTTGGTGAGGTGTGCGATGCTGCAAATAAACCAATCTGTTCATACTCAACTTAAGTTGAGCCCCAGTGTGGGCTCACTCAAGCTCATCAATTTATTAAGTAAACTGAATCCAGGCCTTGTAGAGCAGTCTGAGCACCATTTAGTTTTCCTGAAGGCTTAACAGCATTGTCATCTAAAGCAGTGCCAGTGGTTACTCTATCTACTGTTTTATTGTCTGCTATAATTGTCATACGAAAGAGGCAGCAGTCTCACCACCATTTAGTTTTCCGGCAGGCTTAACAACATTGCTATCTAAAGCAGTGCCAGTGGTTACTCTATCTACTGTTTTATTGTCTGCCATAATTGTCAGAAAAAAAGTTGCTAAAATAGCTTCAGAACTTCCCTCTATCGTTCATCACGGTTCATAGGAATCCAATTATTTTTTCTGTTCCATCAATGGATGATATTGATTGAACAATCATGAAAGTAATATCCTCAATGAAATGAACAGTGTAGCTTTTGTATGGTATTCTGTTTCAATTTCTTTTCTCCTTTTTCTAAACATGCAGGCATCATATTTATGAGAAACGCGGAGGTCCTAAATTGAATGAGCTGAAGGAGATTGGTCCTCGGTTTGAATTGCGGTTGTACCAGGTATTTTCCTTTCAATTCAAAACTGCAACGACAATTAAAGCCTTTTCCCAACTACTTGGGGTCGGCTACATGAATTCAAGTCACCTCACAACCCAATTTGTTAGATCTATTGCTTTTGGCATTGTTGTACTTTCCTGCTAATTGCCGGGCTATGTTCTTTAATCTAGAAATGGCAAAAATTGTCTGGTTTTTTATTACCTTCTATATGCTTAAATGCTTGACACCCCTAACAGCCATCATCTGGTCTCCAGTCCTAAAAGAAAAAATATGCAGAATTCTTGTTGGTGGCAAATTCATATCTTATATTTACTATAAAGGAATATCCCTCAAACCATAATCATAACCATTATCCTACACATTTTTTTGTTGTTGTTTTTGTTCAGTTAATTGATGCTGTTGCATAAAAGATCTACCGGCAAAAAACTGGGTGGGATTTAATATTCTTTACTAAGAAATCACACTTAAATTATTTATATAAAAGAAATCACACAAAATTTTTTAGGGAGAGTATCCTTTAGAAATATGCCTCTTTGGTGTGATATAGTGTGTTTGCTCATAAATTGGGTGGCAATTCGTGTTAAATGGTTGTGTTGAGATGAGGACATTCAGGTATATATGTCAACCCTAACACAACCTGTTTATTATTAATGTCCAGATGTCTTTAGTTGAACACGAACTGCCATGACTCCAGTGACATATTTAATTAAAAAAATTATAATTATGTAACGTGTAACATGACACGGCTTGTATAATAACCTAGTTAATATTTTTTATTAATTAATAAAATGAAAATATCAAAGATGAATAAAAAACCCAAAATATTAGATGAAATATTTGAATTTGGAGTGAACATTTATGTCTAGGGTTATTATGGTTGACAAATATGCCTGTTTAATTTAAATATAATTACTTATAAAAGTTTAGACAAGTGATGAATATATTCATGCTGACTAGATACATTTAGTTAAAGAGATGGAGTCCCTAAACACGAACACAACCTGTTTAGTTTAACAGATGAACAGGTTGACATGCTTAAAGTCGACCCACACCTGCCAACTTCATGTTTGCTTTGAGTCATATTGGCAGGTAGTGACAAGATTTGTCACCTCTACCCAGAAAGAAACGCAAGTGTATGTTGCATCCAAAACAAAGAAGACATGGTCTTTGGATTTCAATATGCAAGAGATATTTACCTGGACAATCCACAGGTGTTTTCATGAGGAGTTGGATTTGGAACTAGCCCTTTGTACCGACTGATCATTAATTATCTTGCTAAAATCACTTCTTGTTAGTTAGCTAATGATTCTTGGATGAGTTTATGTGAAGGTTGCAATGTCATATTGACTTATCAAAAAAAAAAAAAAAAGGTATGCAATGTCATATTGTAATGTGGATCCTAACATATTTCTCAAGTTACCTTGCAAAGTTTCTCTCCTGAGTTTCGAAGAACCAAAGTTTTTTTTAAATACTGAAATGTTGATCCAAACATGAGATTTGCTGGAGTCTTGATTGTCTTTTGAGTGATTCTTGGTCTTGGATTGTGTTTCTGTCGTACTGTTGCTGTAGATATAAATTCATTTCCTGGATAAAAAGATGGGTGATTCTTCTTCATTCACGGAATGAAGTCCTGTATTCATGCTCTTTTAAAGCAAAATCAATTTTGAACCAGTTTGTTTCTTGACAAGGAATTTAAGGTGTAATTAAAGATGATGTTGATAGCATCTAGTCTCTTCTGATCGTTTTCGTCTTCTGAGATTATTTATGTTGATTTGCATTTTGTTATGCTTCATGGAAAACTCTACGTTCTTGGTTCTTGGTTTAGTATTCTGCCTCCAAGATTTGTTTGCTTTATTCATGCCCTCATTGTAGTGTATTTCTTTGTTTGACCATCGTGGGTTGATTTTCTTGTTTTCGCTTCTTCTGATGTTTCAGATTAAAGCTAGGAACAATGGATCAAGGTGAAGCTCAAACTGAATGGGTCATTAGACCATACATGAACACATCCAAAAAACGGAAGATTCTCGGGGATTGAGTCAACCTCAAAGCAATTTCAAGATTTAGCCTTCTGATTTGTAATGTCTACGAGGAAACTGATCCTTTTTCTGCTTAAGCTGACAATTATATTCCAATTCCAATTGGTAGTTTCATCACCATTAAAATCCGCAGATCTTTTGCCAGTTACATGCATGGATAGTTGATTAAAAACCTTCCACACTAGAGCTGTCTTCTTTATTTTCTTTCTGCATCGATGTCATGTAGCTGGATGGTTACATGATGGTATCGTCAAACTACAGACCTCTGTTTAGAGCATGGACTGCTCACATTCCCCGAATGATACATTTTGCAATCGCCTATTACTCGAATTCTAAGGGCATTTTTCTGTATGTTCAAGCATAAAAATCTATTTGGTAGTTTTGATAATGCATGCATCACCGTTTCATCTATGCCAACAGAGATGGGAAGGGGGTTAATGGAGTTTCAAGATCTTCAGTCCAATCTCTCCTTGCAGGATATTGCACCTCTTCGGTATTGAATCTCTCCACTAGCTTTTGCTGGTCGGTAAGTAGATGGAGTTCAACACGGGGAAGTTGTAGGAGATTTTTATTTTATTTCTATTTATTTTGGGACAATATACTAAGTTGCAGAATGCACGATCTTGTCCATGACGTTGCACAATTGGTTATGAGGTCTGTGAGTGTTACATGCGGAATTCACCTCATTTTCTTTTTGTAACGACCTACTCCACCACATGGTATGATATTATCTGCTTTGAGTTTGAGCGCGCACGGTTTTGTTCTTGGGCTTTATCACAAAATGTCTCATACCAATTGAAATGACACACCTACATATAAGCACTTCACCTTATCATTCTCCAGGTGATGTGGGATTATGCACCCGTAGTTTGCCAGTGTGGTAGCTTGACAGTATCTCGCACCCGCCCATGGCACACCCACCCATAGGGTTATCACACTTTTCGTTTCTATTTTTTTTTGTTTTTACAAACTCATCAAGGACCTACTTGTCATCCCTATCTTTTAATACTTGGTCTTGCCTTTTTCTTTTCGTTTCTGTATTTTCCCACTCACCAAGGACCACTTGAGAGACTAGCCTTTATTAATCCTTCAATTATTTGGGGTGTTGCACATGGTCTTGCTTTTTTTTTTTTTTTTTTTTTTTTGGTCCTTGAAATGTTAGTTTCCATCACTAGATTATGAAACATTGAATAGGACTTGTTCAACATCTCAACTAAAAAAAAAAAAGGTAAAGTATAGCCACACTCCCTGAGGTTTGGCAAAAGGACACTCAGAGGAAACTTAACTGTTTTTTTGGACAAAGACACCTCTTGAAGGTTCAAAAATGGACAGAGACACCCCTTTACATGAAAAATTGATCAAATTGCCCTTTAACCATTTATGAGACTTTTTTAACTTTACAATTTAATAAATTAGACCAATCTACCCTCATGAACAATTTATGCATAAAAAAATAATTAAAAAAACTTTATATTGTTCACTTTTTTTTTTTTTTACTTTATAAATGTCTCAACTTCTTAAAAATGTAGACGTCTAAAATGATTTTTTTGATCCAATACATATATTTCAAATAAATTATATTTTGTTATTACTTATTTTCTTTTTCTTTTTTATTTTTAAATTAAGATGCTTAATTCTTTCATTAAAAAAATTAAACCAATCTCTTTTCCTTAGAAATAAAAAATATGGTACCAGTATGATTTTATGCATCTTAAATTACATATTAAATATTATACATTTCCCAAAATAAAAGAAAATATTACATCTCTTATTATCACCAATGCATTCTCATGATTAAAATTATAAATTTTTCCTCATGCACATGATTTTGATGCTTTGATCCACATCCAAAAAGTTACAAAGAATTAACTTTCACATATCAATTTTTTTCTATCCCCAGTTTTTTTCCTAGGGATAGAACCCCCCCCCCCCCCCCCCCCCCCCCCCCCTTTTTACTAGGGATAGAAGTAATAATAATAACTTTATGATTTGAAACCCTATACCATTCATGAAAAAGAAGAAAGAGGAAATGCAATCCACAACCCAAATCTTTAAATTAATAGAAAAATAAAATGGCAGACAAAGGAACAGTAGAAGTGATAATGAGCCTACATCACACTATCAATCATATCAATATATCTGATTCTAAGGATGTTTAGCAAAAACCCAGAAGCACTTTTCAGTTTAGATGAATTTAAACAAAAAAAATCTCATGGGGTTATCTCTCTAGTTCTACTTAACTACATATATGTCTATATCTAATAAATATTAGGGTTTCTAAGAAGAAGAAATGCAAGGGACATGATATTTTATTTTCGGGTCAATGTGACCCCAAAAATCGATTAAATGAAAAAACAGAAAAAAAACCCATTGAAATTGAGAACCAATATACTAGGCACACAATAAACCCAGAAGATAAGTTTTCAGAAAATCAAATCCAACCGTGTTTCAACATCACATAAATAGAGGAATGAGAAAACAGAGTGATTTTTAACAACCCCATAAAATCAACTATGATTCTTACCTTGAATTTGATACTGAAGCTTGGACAAAAGAGAAGAAGAAGATAATAGAGGAGAAGAAATTGTTCATGAGGGTAGATTGGTCTAATTTATTTAATTGTAAAGTTAAAAAAGTCTCCTAAACGGTCAAAGAGTAATTTGGTCAATTTTTCATGTAAAGGGGTGTCTTTGTCCATTTTTGAACATTCAAGTGATGTCTTTGTCCAAAAAACGGGTAAGTTTCCTTTGAATGTCCTTTTACCAAACCTCAGGGGGTTTACCCAAAATTTATTGATCATCTACTCCATCTCTTAAAGAAGAATGATTGAAAAAAAATTTCCTTGTAAGAAAATTATTACAAGTTTCTGAATTATTGGTTTTGGTAAGATCAACACTTGACACGTGTGAACAAATGTATAAGAATGGCATAAGTTTTATTTAGATTTTATTTATGATAAAGTATGTTTATTTATTTATTTTTTTCGTAGTTGGTACTTGCACACACGTCTCAAGGAGAAGATCAACCTAGGAGAAGATCGACCTAGGGCATAAGAAATTTAGCAGAGTGATCCCTCGTGGATTACATATACAGATCTATACTTAATTGAAAAGAAAGAGATCGGTTGGGGAAGAACAAACCAGTTTCAGAGAGAGGACGGAAGGAGAAATCGAGATAGGGCCAGCAAGAAACAATCTTCTGACACACATCGAATCAGAAATATATATATAGATATATACTTAACTTGACAAAAATTACGTCGTTTTTATATATATACAGTTAATTAAGGACGGCAACTTACTGTCCCAAAAGCGTATTTTGATAATTTTTTATTAAAAAAATATAATTTCACTTAAATATCCTTTTGGGACGGTAACATTACCATCCCAAAAGGCTATTTTGATAATTTTTTATTAAAAAAATTTATAATTTCACCAAAATTGGCGCTAAGTTTTGCCGCCACCAGATTGGAGGGGGCGCTAATTTTTTTTTGGTCTTTTAGGGATAGGAAGGAATATAGTGTCACCAAAAAAGGTGTCTTTAGGGACAGTTTTTCTACTGTCCCTAAAGGACTGTCACCAATAACCCAAATTCTTGTAGTGTAATTGTAATTATTTATTTGTTAAGTCATTGGTTTAATGCATCGTTTGAGTTATAATTAAGTTTAGGGTTTATGTTATAATTAGGTAAGTCGACTTATAATGAGTCGTGGGATTAGGATTAGGATTTAGCATGAACCTATATATATATAAGACAGTATGGTTTGCTAGGTTGAAAACCCTATTCACGACATAGTGTCTTTAGAGGAAAAACAGAGAGAAGCTGTAGAGGGAATCAGAGAGCGTCGTGAGAGATCACCTGTAAGGCTAAAGGAGAAAGAAGGGGTTGCTTTGGGATGGGATTAAGAAGTAACAGAGGAATGAAATTGTGATCAGAGGAGAAACAGTCTTGGAGAATTCTGAAACTTAGAGACGGCGTTGAAAGGTTTCAAACCGAAACCTAAAGGCAAGTTTCAGTCTATCTCTTTCCTGTAAACTTGTGTTCTGTGCATTCTTTATAGTCTCCAAGGTTTAATTCAACTTTAAAATTGATGGTTGATGCATGTGTAGCAGACTGTAACTTGTTGTGTTTAAAGAACTGAAATCGTTTCCCTGTATACTGTGTTTGTTTATGAATTGAAACTTTTGTAAATTAATTCATAGTGAAAGGTGAAGAGTTTTTAGGACTATAGGAACTTAGATGGAACCCTAGGAATGTTAAAAGTGTTGGGACAGTGACTAGAAGTGTGATACCCCTAGATTTCCGGATGCGGGTTGGCCAAGCCCACGCCCGATTACCCGAGGATATCAAACCAATTAGCAATAAACGAACACAGGATACAATTAAGGAAACAGGAATAAATAAAAATTTGCTGAAAAGAAACTAGAATGATAATCCAAATATTGGAACCTCAGAATAAAATTAAACTAATAAAGAATTATTCTGATGCATCCAAATTCTCCATTTCTAATACAACTCGTGAATCCATCTGGTGGACCCCTAAAAACTCCAACACTGAAATCATCAACTGAAGAATTCTACTGCTAAATCATGAAGAAGCTCCTACGTCATCGAAAGAATGAGAAGCCGTCTCTGCTCAGCACGAACAAGATCTAAGATCTGGAACCGTCCGTTACCTGAAAAATAATAGTGGGTCAGGCCCACGAACAAGTTCTATCCTAACTACAATTCAAACAGAGATCCGATACGCAGATACATCCTAGATGTCTCAACCATATCTATGTAGACCGTAATAGATAAATATATATCCACACTACAGGACTGTCACTAAATTATGCTGAGGGTCTCAACCTGAATAGAAGGCAACATACAATACGCACCTGAGTGGGCATGACTACCTAAACCTAACAAGGTGTACCTCAACCAACATAGCTACCTACGCATCCTACTGCATATACACACCCTAACCGTCGACTATGAGACTCAAGCTCATATCGCGGTATCATAATTTATATATATAAATTCCCATCCAAACCAATGTAGTGCCGCTCAACTATTCATTGCCATGACACAACATAAAATTAGGATTTAAATGTTTTAATTAAATCCCTATCCCAAATATATATATAAGTTCCCTCCAAGTACAATATTGTGCCAGTCAACAGTTCATTGCTCAAGACATAACATGTAAACAGGATTTAAACGTTTTAGTTAAAACCCTATTCTTCCTAATACAGAAATATAAACAATCATCCAGTATGTCGTTCAACTGTTTTAGTTGACAGGACATGAAACCATGTAGGATTTAACTGTTTTAGTTAATCCATTCCGTATGTATGAATGGGTAGGAATTAGCGTTGTGACCTAATCCATCCCTCCGTATGACACCGTCCCATACCGGTGCATACATGCAAATGATCCGTAAATGATACAACATTATAAGCAGTACATCAAATAAAGTCCACATTATCCATATAGTTGATAAACACAGAATTTAAACAAGTCACCAACTAAAAATTCAGAATCCATCCATGTAATTAAACGAGACAAATTTTACTAATTCGTCAAGTTATATTCCAGCATCCATCCAGGTAATTGACAGAAAAATACATATTTAATTCTTCAATTAATTCCAAGCCAACGTCCAATTAGATTGATAGAACCTAAGTACTAGTTCAGCAATTTAAGTTCAAACTCTAATCCA